GCATCCAAACTAAGTTACCATATTGGAAAAACACTAAATAGTGAAATATTCCCAGTGTGAGCAGTTCAGTTTCAGTTAGAATAATTATTTGTAACATTTATCAAAACCTTATTTTGCTAAATATAAATACTGAAAAACCATCCAATAAACCTCTGTATAATTATTTTTTCTTTTGTATGTATTTTCATTAACTGCCTGAATTTTTTTGAAACAAGGTTATATTTATAAAATAAAGGGAGAAAAGTTATTCTCTTTCTCTAAAGGCTTGTTTATTGGGCCATCAACAAAGGATCAAGAAGATATTTTGGAATTCTTACCAGTGGAGCAGCAGAATTGAAACGCTTGGGACCTTGGGCTTGCCTGAATGTCTTCTAAGCCACTTGTGAGTAGAAATCAGCTGCATATATTAGCATGTGAGATATGTTTTTCTTAAATCAGGAGATAAATTGTTAAATTCTTTGGTGTTTCCAAACATGGAGCAGACTTCTATCTCTTCTCCAAAAAAGTTGCATAATTAATAAAATTCGTATCATTGAACCAATTCTTTGCTCTCTTTGCTTGCAAAAGTCAAAGTTTATTTTCCTACTCTCCCTTTGAAGAAAGACACTTGTGATAGATGGTGGATGACAGTCCAGGAATTCGACCAAAATGACAGTACACGCCCTATAAGCAGCTGTGTGTTGGCTATGATTCTGTTTTTTGTGCACATCTAGTGCAATGCAGCCAATGGAAAGAAATAGTCACATTTGATCATGCCACTAATCCAGAAGGCATTTGCCTTGGGTGTCAAGGACACACAAGATGCAGTCAGTAGAGGTCACTCCAGCTTACAGAAATGGGAAGACAGGTAGGACAACTTTGACAAACTAGTTAAAAGCTTCTCTGCATATATGTCTAATTCAACTGTATCTAATTTTAACCATTTAAAAATGTGGTACATCAAGATAGGCCATGGAGAGGAGGCATGGGAGGGTGGGTTAGTGGATGCAGAGCATGTAAGTACAGATGGGGAAAAGAATCAGGTCAGACTCCATATAAGGAGGTATGCAAGAGTCATCACCGTGCCCATCTTCTGTGTTCCAGTGGCTTGGCCTGACCGACTGCTCTGGCTACACCAGCATCCTCACTTGGTCTGCACGAAGCCCCACAAGCGGTAGTCACTTACAAGTGGTGGCAGCATTGGGATGGAAGACAGCTGTGTTTGCTTTTTCCTTCCCACAATGAGTAGTCTCTTATAGTCTGGAGAAGAGATGGAACCTCAGATTTGAAGGTCATCTCCTATGATCTCATTATTGGTAATTTACCTAAAATCATATAATTCAGCGGTGTGATACACTCATACCCACAGTCTTGAAACGTTTGAAGATTTATATCTACAATATTCAGCTGAATCCCAGGTTTTGTTGTTGGTTTTGTTTTTCCTTTTTTCTCCCCTAAAGAACTGATGTAACATAAAAAAAGGTATTTTTAGCCAGTGGCTCAAACTAGTTGAGAAAAGATGAAACAGCATCTTATTATGTTCGTAAAACAGTGAATTTAGTGCAAGCTCAGCATGATTTGGGGTCCTTTGCTTAAAAAGGCATGTGCCCTGGCCCCATATCAGAGGAGTCTGATTCAGTCCATCTGGGCTTGAAGCCCAGAAGTCTGTATGTAATACAGTGCCCTCAGGTGATTCTGATGCAGCCAGTCCAGGGACCAATATCAGAGAATCAGCATTTAGAACCCTCCACCATTCCCACACCGTTAGATTATTACAGAAATATAATATTCTGGGCTTTTGAAAGCCTGTTGCTTGGGAGAGGTCCCCTGTTCATTATTTCCTGATTCTACCAAGTCAGAGAAAGGCAATCTATAGCCCCTGGCAACATTGTTGATATCTATCCTTCCTCCCTATTCCCTTCCCTCTTTTACCTTCCATTTCTTCTATTTTTGTTCCTCTTCTCAAACTCTTTCTTGTTTCGTATTCTTTTCTTTTATTTCTAATATATTTCCCATGCTTCAGCCATGGGACCATGTGGGTTTTTCTGATATAGCTGCCTAGTCAAAGAGTGAGCTGGCCTACAGTGTTGGTGCCCTAGAGTGTTGCCCTAGAGTGCTGCACTCTGCTGTCCTAGAGTGTTGGTGTAAGGAAATGCATTCTTAAGAGCGGAGGGATGTATGGCCCTGAAAAGCTACTGCGAGGATCTGGCATAAACTGCAATGGCTGCCATTGCATTGTCCAGTGTGTCACCCTGTCAGTGGGATTCAATCAGAAGTCAGGAAGGCATTCAAACTGATGACCCACCTGGTTATAGTGCCAGGAGTCTCATCAGAGTTTCTCCATAGCAAAGGTGTCCAGGACAAAAATTCAGCCTAAAATCAGTCCAGCTTTCATCAAAGGCAGAGTTCCAGAGCAGGTTATCACTGGGGGGCAGCCTAACATCTGGTGAAGGTTGTAGACAATTGGATTATAAGGGCCAAGTCTGACTAAGATCACGCTAGTAAACTGAGCTAGCCACATTCAGGGGGATGAGCGAGAAGGATGGAAGACTGCCAGTTGAGCCCTGCTGTGTGTCAGGTGCCACAGAATAAATTTGCACAGGTAATACCCCTTGTGATCCTCATGAGGGACCTGTGAGGGTGAGTGGTTTTGTCCTGTTTCCCAAATGAGAGACATGAGACTCAGAAAGTAAGTATAATTCATGCAGGGTGACACATTTACTGAGTGGAGTCCACTAGCTCCAAATTCAGAGCTCTTTTTATTCCATGACACTCTCCCTCCAATATCCCAAAGGTTCTGGCCTTAGGATTACCATCAAGTATTAAAAGAGAGATGGCGGGGGGATGGGGGCAGTTGTCTTGTTCAAATTCACTCCTCTGTGAGGATATTTTGGATTCTTCTCACATCACAAAATTACGGAGCTAGAAAGGATCTTAGTGGTCATTTAGTTATAACCCTTATATTTCAGATGAAGAAGCAGAGACCCAAAAAGACAGAGTGCTTTGCCCAAAGTCACATGGTTACTGATAGATCGGAATTAAACCCAGCTCTTCTAATGTGCACTTCAGTATTTTTCTTGTGGCAACGTTTTCCAAAAGACTACCATACGCATTTTGAAAATACATCAGAAATTAAAATGTGGCCATGTAAACTTTTCCCCAAGTTTCTATCCTAGTTCCAGCATGAAACTTGCTTAGAATCTTCTGAAATATATGCTCTTAAAATTCCATTATGTGAAGCTGTGTGACTCTGTCTCTAAGTCTCTGTTCCCATTGGAACCATCTAGAATTGCTATAAATTCTATTACTCCTTTTAAGGATCTTGCCACATAGATGCTCCCTGCCAAAGCTTGACCTCCAAAATTAACAAGACATTAGTCATAGAGATCTCTAACTTTAGGGAAATCCTATGCCCCTTTTATGTGAATGTCGCTGGCATCAATAAAATGGGAAGCTTACAGAGTGGAACCTGCCCTCTCTAACTCTCAACCCCCAAGACAAAAGATGAGAGAGGGAGGACCTAATGATCCTCTTCCACTTACTCTTCCTCACTCGGTCCTTGATCCCTGCAGGGAGTCAGTTTTGAGACAGATAGATAGATAGATAGATAGATAGATAGATAGATAGATAGATAGATACACACATACATACATACATACATACATACATACACAGAGAGGATAGATATAGATATAACATATCTATCTAAATCAGTACTTTACACACACATAAATATACACCATAGAGATAGAGAGAGTGATAGACTAGAGAGAGATAGATAGATAGGTAGATAGATAGATAGATAGATAGATAGATAGATAGATAGATAGATAGATAGATAGATAGATAGAATGATTGATTTATGTATGTTTGTGTGAAGTATATACCAGGCAACTCCTAAAGTTAATCTTCTCTTGCTCCTTCCCTATATATTATCAGCAGAAGGGGTTGGGAGGCTGAGTATATTAGAGGTTAAAATCCATGGGATTTAAGTATAACTCTTGCATGAAAATTATAGCTTTAGCATCTGTCTTTTAGCCCAGTATGGCATTTCTCCTTCCCACCTGTTCTAACTTGTAATGACTAACTTAATGCATATATTTCTTAGCATTTGATGGACTCCATCAATACAGAGACCAACCTGTCTGATGTTTTAAGAGACAGGGTTTTGCTCTGTCACCCAGGCTGGGGTGCAGGTGCATGATCATAACTCACTGCTGCCTCAACCTCCTGGGCTCAAGCAATCCTCTCACTGCAGTATCCTGAGTAACTAGAACTGTAGGTGCATGCCACCACACCTATTCAATTTTTATTTTTTTTATTTTTTGGAGAGATGAGGTCTCACTACATTACCCAGGTTGGTCTCAAACTCCTGGCCTCAAGTGATCCTCTTGCCTCAGCCTCCTCAAAGCGCTGGGATTACAGGAGGGAGCATTGCACCTTGCCCTGTCTGACCCTTTGATAATCAATCTTCAACACCTAGAACAGTGTCTAGAACTAAGGAAGCAGTTAATAAATACTTTTGGAATGAATGAATAAGTGACATGGTGTAACATGATATGATACAATATTGAATAGCAAAATGTGTTCACTAATCCCACATGATCAGTGTCTCAAAACCCAAGACTCAGTTTTCCCAAATTAGCCCATGTTCAGTGAGTTAAAACAGGTTAACACCACTCTCACTGCTAACTAGTGTCAGATCTAAGAGAACTTCATAAAGATCTTATAAAAAATTAATCAAGCATCTCTGAAGTCAGAGATCAGGCAATATATAATAACTAAATTAGAACAAAGAGAAAATTTCCAAAATGTAGTTGAAATTCAACAAGCTGACTATAGGAAAGAGAAGGGAACAATACTAGTTTTCATGTCAGAAAAAATGTTCATGTATTTCATATGATTATAGTTACATTAATTTTTCTTCTCTATATTTTATATATTAAATGTTCTATAGTAACCAATTGTTACCTGAGATGGAAAAAGAATAAAATGTGTTAAGAAAAAAAAAGGACTAAAGGAATGGAGGGGGAGAAGAAGAAGAAAAAGGAGGGGGAGAGAGAGTGAGGGAGAGAGAGAATGGAGGGTGGAAAACACCTCATGAGATGAAAAAGGACAGTCTATTTCTCCATGACTGTAAAACCACTGATTGAAAATGGAGAAAAGTCAAATCCACGGTTGTTTTGTCTCCATGACACTAAACACTACTGGTTTTACTTTTTCAAAGGATATCTTGAAATGATTAGCTATTTTGGAATCATGGAGACACACCACCATGTAAACAAGGAAAACAACATATGAGCAACCAAGGAGGGCCATAGCCCACGTTGAATGGCTTAAAGACACCACAAAACACATTGGTGTATCCTTATCTTGAGAAATTAACACAATTAATTAATTTCTCCAGAGAATCAATATGGCTCAGTCAGTGGAAAATATTCGAGACTTAGGAAAATGAATCCCTCGGTTCTATTGTCTACCCTTTCAACAAGTAAATCTGTGAACTAAAGCAGGTGATTTAACCACTCTTCCTCTTCTATGAAAATTAGGATAATATCTTCTGTCTTATTTATTCTCACACTGTTGTAGGTAGAAAATAGTTTGGAAAATTACATTTTGTAAATTAGGGAAAAGTGGCTTTTTTAATATAAAATAGTTAATATAAAATGGTTGCATAAGTATGACCTTACCATGTGCAATCAATTGAAGATCTTAAAGTGCTCTTCATGAAATGGTAATATGAAAGGCTTTATAGTTATTTGTTAACATTTGCTTCACAGAGAAATGGCAATGGAATTAAGTGCAGTAGCTAAAAGTTAAAAGCAGAATATGGTTGACAGACATGAACAAAGCTATAACCCTACATGATTGGCTACAGATTATTAGTTTCTGGAGCACAAGCTTTGCAATTACACTCGTTTGTATTCCTTACATTAGTATGGCTTTGATATAATATAGTAAGGACTGAATGTTTTGACACTTAATGATATTTAAAATATTTTAATAAAATAAAAGGGCTAAAATAGCCAGTCTCTACCATACTTGAGGATTTTCAAAAGGACAATGGTAAGGAAGTAGGTAGCACCTTAGTGATTCATGTCAAAAGGAAACTAAGAAAAATAGGTTTCCCCTGCTGCACCTGACCCGACAACATCTCATTAAGCCAGTCCTGGTCACAGTTGTTCCTGACGTCATCTTGGGACAATCTTCACAAATGTATTTGTGTGTTAGGCTCCTCCACGGACCAACAGAAACTGATGCCCACAACTAACCAGATGCAGCGGCAACCACCCCTGCTTTCCACAAGATTCTGTAAAATGCTGATGGAGCAGGAAATAGCTATAAAAGTTCCCCTGAAATCCTCTAGGGATGTCCTGTAACATTTTCCATGGAAATGTCATAAAATATTCCATGCAATTAGTTTCACTTAAAGAAACATTTGTCAACTTGTTTTACCTTCTTAAAGGTGACATTTTTTCTTTAAATATGTGTCATGTACAAAAAGGTTTTTGTTGTTTAACAAAATACATCAACATCATTACCACCGTGGGATTCCGACTGACAGAAAGATAACAATGGCAAGATTAACTTCAACAAAAACCGAAGTAAAATACCATAAATGAGGAGCAGAGTTGGGGTGGTGGAGTATAGAATGTGGATGAAATTTTTTAAAGATTTTTTTTAATCAAAGCCCTACCTTTTTATGGGGTTATTTTCATTTTCAGAAAATATGAAATGACCTAAGAATAGAAAGACTCACTGTTATCCATGTAACCCTAGAGAATTCGTATGAATTAAAATTTACTCCCAGGCTCCTAATCTGACATTAAGTAAATACGCTACAAATCAAACTATATTTTCCAAAGCAGAGAGTAATGTTACCATGTCGTCCCCACATGCTTGGGATGGAAAACAGGTGCATGGGTGAGGCTTCCTGAATGCAGCTATTTCACGCTCAGTCCCCAGGTGGCTTATCTATACCCTGCTCCACACATAGGTCACTCCAAAACTGGCATAGAGTAATTTTCCACTGGGAACCCCAGGGTTTTCAGAGTGACTGTTGAAATGCAGAATTATCCCACAACACTTTCCCTCCCTGAAGCTGTGCCACCTTTATGTGTCTTTCCATTTCACCAGAAAGTCTGCCATCTGCACACCCCCATGACCTTGCTGGGTTCTGCCCAACAGCAACCAAAAGCTAAAAATTCCCTTGTCTAGATTGATTGGGTTGTTTGATCAGTAGTTGGTGCTCAAATGCCTTCATTTCATCGGATTCTCAAAAGTCTTCTTGCTCTTCTCTGGTTGACCTTTACGGTATAAGGGTATGATATGATTAAGAAGAATTATCCAGCTTCAAAAGGCATTTGTAAAAGTTTAGAGAGATTGGAACAATAGAGAGGGGGAAAAAGAGGTAGACCAAGGAAGAAGTACCAGATAGGAGTCCTAGACTCTGTGTATACAGTCTTTAGAAGGAGTCACTATTGAGAGAGGTGCAGGAAAACTGGAAATGTAATTTATACACAGAACAGAAATCAGTCATCAAAAGATATGGACAACAGATATACATCAAAACCTACTTTGTGAAGCAAAAGCAGACTTAAGAATGTGACAAACCAGGAGATACCCATCTGAGGGGAACAACGGCAACATTTAGAAGGTATAGAGAAAGGTAAGATTTATTAAGAGAATGAGCTCAAAAGTCATGATGGGCACATAACTTTTTCAGATGAATTTGTATAAATAGTGAGTTAATTGTATCCAACAACAACAACAACAACAACAATCCCCGGAACCTAACTGGGTCATTCTACCAGTTGTAGCCTTAGGAGTCTTGTTTTATGATGAGGTCTAAATTAGGGATTGGAAATAGAAAAAAAAAAAATGATATAGGGACTAAAAGGAAGAAAAGGACAGGCTACCCATCCAAGAGTGTTCTCAAAACACTCAGGGCCTTAACATTGGTCAAGAAGAAAATGGAAATCAGTTTGATGGAACGACTGAGGAAATAATTTCCTAGTAAACTGAATGAGGACACATGACATTGTCTGGCTAACAGAACATGACTGGCTGCCTCCAAAGAGATGTGCAAAGGGTGCCACATTGTCTGGGATTGTATCAAAGGCTCAAGTCAACACCCCAGTGCTAGTCCTTTTCTTAAGACCAACTCATTTCATCTAGCCATCAATCTTAGGTTTAAGACAAGAATTTTAATCTATTAATGTACATGGAAAAAGGAAACAGCCTCTGAAATGAAAATTTTACTCAGGAATGAATAGTGTGAGCTATCCTCATTCAAAGTTAGTAAAAAAAAAATTCATTAGGGTGATTGATGATCATAGAATATTAACAAGCATTGTTAATAAATCATCTGAATGTTCCATGAAATCAATCTAAGAAAACATAACATAGTCATCTCAACAACCAGCATGGCCTTGTCTGGGAGCCAGGAGTGCTTAAAGTCCCTCTACAAAAGTTTTGTTTCCCCTGGATAGCATTTTATAGAACCCTGCCAATATTTACTTCTGTGAATTTTCTGTTTGCTTTGCTCACCCGTCCGGCTGGCATAAGCTTTTCTAATACATTCCATCAGGCTACAGTTCAGTCTTCTAAGCCATAGAGTCTTTCCCTTTCCTTGCCTCTATACATCTCTGTTGTGACCTGTGTAATAATGTACTGGTTTTGAAGTTTAACTTCTAGAGATTAATCCCATGTCTGTTTTTAGGTTCTTGGAGAGAAGGATAGTATAAGACACTTCTCTGTACTGCCAGATCCTGGAACAGAAGGGACTGGCTTTCCTTCCCATTTAAAAACTTAATGAGATTTTTAAGGCCTATTATTGTACTTTTCTTATTTATATGTTCATATCAACAGGCCCCAAATCATTTTAGTCCCCCCATGCTAGACATGGAAAGTTCTTTTTATCAAGGTCATTAATGAATTCACACTAACAAAGAAGCGTTATCTGTGTTACATTCAATATTTGCAGAGAAAAATAGTGAGCTTCTCTAGAGAAACCCTAGCAAGTGATAATCAAAAGTATCGAGGAAACAAATGAGAAAAGAAGATAAGTTGTGTAAATCACATTCGTATTTTAGAAAGGCGAAGTTGAAAGAGACAGATTTAAGGCAAACTCAGAATTATACAATGGAAAAATACTGCACTGAAGATGAAAGGCCTGCCTGGCAAATAGATAATGCCAAATTTGATGAGAAAATACATTACATTTCCTTTTCTTTGAAATCTTAGTTGATATTTTCCACTTTAACTGGAAAGAAATAAGCTCTAAGATGTCAGTCAACACTTGGAAAGAGAGGCCTCCCTTTCCAGATACAAAAACATGGAGGAAATGCCTAAATGTTTTTTCTGTGAAGCACAAACCCCTGGAAAGTTCAAGATCAGCTCACAGGCTATGAAAAAAAATCTGCTTCGGGTCTTTTGTTTGGCTGTTAACATTTTTTTCTCTCTAAGGAAAACTGCTGAAGGGGCTGGAAGCAGGAGAAAGAGGTGGTTGAAAAGAATATACTTTCCCTCTGCTTTTCAGACAGGTCCTCTCCCTCGGGGCCTTTGCTTTGATCTTGCCTTTGTATTTACTTGCTACCCGGGCTTTAATTTACTACCAGGTAACTGCTGACCTTGCTCTGTCTAACCTACATAGATTAGGGAACATGCTCATGAACTTAGTCAAAATAATCTCAGGAGACCCGAGACATTTTCTCACTACTCTCACCTGGGCCGTCTTGGATCACTGGACACATTGCTTGTCATCTATAATTCTGCAACTAAACTGAGTTAAACTCTCGGCTGTTATTTCCCCCCATTTTAAAAGCACCACAAAGATTAACCTGTTCTTTTCCAGCTGGATACTATGTGCTCCATGACCAGATTCAATTTCTTATGTGTGCTACACAAGTCTCCAATCTTAAAAGGGCTCTGCTGATGGTTCCTTGAAATTCTTAATAATGTTTGAATAGTTGCACACAAGGCCAGCACAAGCCCTGCAAATTATACAGCTGGTCTTGTGTGTAACTATTTTTCCCTGCCTGAAATCCAAAAGCACAATTGCATTCCTGATGTGACCTGACAAAATCCAGTCTAATGGGGTAAAACATGCTTTATCAGTCAAGAAAGCACCTAGATGAAAAAGCTAAGCGTAGCCAGCTGCAGCTCCAGCCACATATGCTGTCACGCTTGTCAAATATTCAGGAGCATGCACTCATTTGCTTGGTCACTGCACTAAGCAAAATAAAGGCCTCCAGTCATGTCACATGCTAACATCGAGGAGAACCAGAGACCACGGTTGTATTAATTGAAAAGTCATGTCCAGACTTCAGCCCTTGCTTCCAGAAAGTTCAGGGCAAAACTCATGAATTCCAGGAATGCACGGAAAAAGAACCAAAGAACAAAACTGGATTTCTACCTAAGTTTAGAAATCAAACGCTACTGATCTAATGCTTTAGCTGAAATCTTTTATTAGAAATGGCAATAAAACCCAACCAAACAACTAGAACACAGACCATGTTTTATTCCTTTACATAATCATTTCTTAACTTCATGTGGACAAGAACAAAGTGATCATGAGTTATATTATTTCCTGGCTTAGAGTAAAAATGCCTACCTTTTTTCAGCTGGGGAATGATTTGTAACCCTTCCTCTCCATACCACACTTCTTCTCTTCCACCGGAAACTCATTATCTGTTGGAGGGATTGAGGCAAAGGGCTGAATCATATATTTTCCTAGTGTCCTTTACTTGTTACATCTGTCTTGTTAAACACAGAATGGAAACTGATATGCTTTGGCTCTGGGTCCCCACCCAAATCTCATCTCGAATTGTAATCCCCATAATCCCCACATGTTGAGGGAGGGACCAGGTGAGAGATGATTTGATCATGGGCACGGTTTCCCCCATTTGTTCTTGTGATAGTGAGTGAATTCTCACAAGAGCTGATAGTTTTATAAGGCAGTTTTCCCTGCTCACTCTCTCTCACCTACCACCATGTAAAACGTGCCTCTTCCTCTTCTGCCATGATTGTAAGTTTCCTGAGGCCTCCCTAGCCATGTGGAACTGTGACTCAATTAAACTTCTTTTCTTTATGATTACCCAGTCTCAGGTATTTCTTTATAGCAGTGAGAAATCTGACTAATACAGAAACCTATGAGGCACTTGCTTCTGAGGGAACCCAAACGCAGGTTTCTATTTGAAGAATTTAAGACAAAATTGTTGCGGCAAGATTTTCAGAGGGGGTCAACTACATCTACCAACCTTATCACACACTTGCACCTCAAACTCTTAGTGTAGACCTGTGTAAAAATCATAGCCCCACAATCAAAGAAATTCAGACACTGACTGGATATTAGATGGTATTTTTAAAAATCATTGTTTTAATGTAGGTATAAAGTGATGTTTTCATTATACATTGAATAAATAGTTCTCTTTCGGAAATATTTACTGAAATATGCTATCTATAATATATTACAGAATCTGCTTCACAGTAAGCCATATGGGGAAGGGCTGGAGTAAGACTGGTAGAAATGAATAGAATTGTTTATGAGTTAATAATTTTTGAAACTCAGTGATGCGTTCAGGAAAGTTAATTGTGATGTGTGTTCAACTCTTCTATGCATATGAGATTTTCCATAGTGAAAACTGTAAAAAATATATTTTGATGTATTACATGTTACTGTGGTCCTGATGCTACCATTTCTCAGCTGTGGAATATTAGGCAAATAGCTCTCTGAGCCTGTTTCATCTGTGTACTTTTCATAGTCATAGCTACCTCTTGGAGTTATGAGAAATGAATGAGATAGTATACATAAAGTGACTAGCAAAGGATAGTTACTCAATGAAGGAAAAGGCATCTTCAGCATGGCCCAATTTCTTCTTCCACTCCAGGTCATCCTTCAAGTAAAGTCTGCTACTGGCCCTCAGCTGAGTGTATTCCTTTCTTTTGTCTCCTTGTCAGCCAGAGTCTAGACTGAGCTCCAACTTCTGCTTACTTTATGAAATCAGATAGGACTTCAAGAATTCAGCTTGCCGAGTGGAAAGATAGTGTCTTAATCTCCTGTGTAAGCTCCCTTCCAACTCTCACCCCTTCCAAATGAACACAAATATACATTTGGATTTTCCATAAACAACAGCACGTGCCAAGCAGGTTTGTGTAGACTGCAGAAAAATGTTCTTTTGATTCAGATCCTGAAAACACATCGCTGAATTACTGTACTAAGAGAGAGCATTCCCCAGTTCAAAGTTGCAGCTGCCTACAAAGAACTAATACAACAGATAAAGTTATAGAAGTAACTTGCGACTATTTTAATCATGCTGACCTTCTGAATATTTTTAAATTAATACACCTTTTTTATTTTGTATTTTACTTTTTATTTTATTTTATTTTTAACCAAACACAGCATTGAATCTCCCTGAATGTTAATGGTGTAAACCAAGCTCGTCCAAATCGTGGCCTGCGGGAAGCATGTGGCCCAAGACAGCTTTGAATGTGGCCTAACACAAATTTGTAAACTTTCTTAAAACATTATGAAGTTTTTGTTTGCAATTCCTTTTTAGTTCATCTGCTATTGTTAGTGTTAGTGCATTTTATATGTGGCCCAAGACAATTCCTCTTCCAATGTGGCCCAGGGAATTCAAAAGATTGGACACCCATGGCTATAAACAAAAGTGAACCGTGACCTAATGGTGTTTACATAGTGGACCTTCTACTATGCTGAATTTCCTTACGGGAGGTAAATCAGTGTGAACAAATACTGTTTTCTTCCAAGAGAGTTGGTAGAATTCTAAACAGAAGACTATCTCAGGTTAAGTTACACAGAAAAGGTATTTTTCCAGTGTTTTAACCTTAATTTCATCTTTGGAGGATCAGAGTATTATTTTCCCTCACACAGCATCTTCTTTCTGTATTCTAGCACTGTGCTGGGTATTAAAAGCAGAAAGACAAAGTCCTTACTTTAAAGAAAAACTACACAAACAACCAACATTGACTAAAGGTTTAATGTGTCCCAGGCATTGCAAGGAACACTACATTTATCCACTCCTTTAACAAATATCAAGCATCTTCTTTGTGTTAGGCACTGTTCTGGCACTGGGGATGCCGCAGTGAATGAAACACAAAATTGCTGCCCACGTGGTGCAAACAGTAAATGAAATAAAATGAAGTCACTTGTTAAAAAAATTCTATAAGATGGTGCTTTACAATTCCCATTTACAGATGAGAAAATTGAGGCACAGAAAGGGTGAGTCATTTCCTTAATATTCTAGCAAACAGTAAACCTGGATTTTGTATCTAGTCATTCTCTCTCCAGAGCCCAAACTCCTTATCATTCTATTGATGATTCCTCTGGTTCTGTTTTGCCACCCAAAAACTGACCCAATCAGACTGGACCCAATGGGGCGCTGCAGCTAGAAAACCATGCCAACCAGAGTCACACCTGGACAAACTGCTAGACTAATGAACTGGGGGAGAAATTTAGGAGGCATGGTCAGGTCTACTAAAATATACCCCCAGCCACTCTGCTCATCAACCCAGGCCAGCCTCACCAATTTGGCTTTCTGCATCTGGCCTTTTGCTTTTCGTCTCAGTCATTATTATCACATAATCTTAAACCCTTAAAGATGGGAGAAATTTGAGATCATTCTTAATCTGGTTTAAACTGAGAATGAGCCCGTGGTTGGCATCTCTCTTCCCAGACCTAAAATTAAATCTGCAAAGCCCCATATCAGATTTCTATTTCTTTTCTCCCTAACCTTTCTGTCACTTTAATCTCTTAACCCCAAATCACAATTGGTACAACCGCTTGGGGACAAGCCGTTTCAATCAAATTCCTACTGGCGATAGGCTTTGCAATATACCAAGACTGCAAGGGCAATTAACTTTGGCAAAATAAGGGTCACACCTAATTTCCTGAGAAACTCATAAATTTCATGTAATCCTGAGTAATTGGACATCTATCAAAGGGTTCATACAGTAATTCTCTTGAGAGATCATTATAATCTGCCAGTTTGATTAATTTCCCAGAAATGTAAAGCTCAAGTTGATAAGCTTAGCCCTCACCCTGCTGCAGAGACAAAAACTTGAGCCTTGGCAGCTTTCTAAGACACTGCTCAGGCCCTACTTGCCCGTGGGAGATTGTTTTCACACCTTTGTAATATTTTCCATTGACTCTATGCTCAAGGGAAGAATCTGAAGCTGTATATACACAGATTCACTACGTTTACTTCTCAGCTTCATGAGCTCTCCGACTTCACCTTTAAAGAACACCCATCTATTTGGTAACTCCAATATTATGAAAGAACTGGTGTTGGTATAAAATGTGAGTTTTCTTGTACATATTGTTAAAGTCAAAGAAAATCATCCATATTGTGATAAGAGAGAATATACACCAGTTGAGCTCTCTGCTGCCAGGAAGTGCAATAAAGACATGATATGTAACAGGAAAGATACCTAGAAGCCCGCCACTGCCTTGGCTTGATGCTTGGATGTTCTGGTGTTCACCTATTACTTGATTCCTCAAAGGTGCTCAGAAACTGATGCTTCTGTGTCACCGGGAGACAGCTTGAATATTTTGCTACTGTTCCTTATTCAGCTTTGACCTTCCTAGCAGATAAAGGACAAGAACATACCACATTTTAGATGTTCACCAAATAATCTCAACACAGGTTGTTTCCTCAAGCAGCTTAGAAACATCTCTGCTGTTTTCAATGTGTTTTTGTTTGGTGGATAGTTTTGCTGGTAGTGGAGGAGGCTGTTTTCTTTTTTAAATTTCTTTCAGCAATTATACTAACCTGGATACATTTCATCATCAAAGGATTGAATCAAGTATTAGGAAATTGCATGGAATATTTTGGGCATCAGCTCCTTCTACCAGGACTGATCCTTAAAATGAAAGACAAAAACTGCTCTACTCCCTTGTCATGTTTGTTTGCAGTCTGTTTGTCAAATTAGCTGTTTGTTTTTAGCAAAGGCTATTAAGAATTATTTTTAGTTTAAATACGCAGACCCTTCTCAAAATGTGGTGATGCTAATTTCCTGGATACTAGATACTAGATATGACATTTGCAAGTAGACTTTGGTTTTCCACACTATATTTTTTTTTAAATTATTATATCATTACCCATGATTTATTCCACTCCAAGGGGCCTCCCAGGCATTGTTAAGTGATGCTTGCCTGAGCCAACTTTTAAAAGTCATAACGCCCTTCTAGTATTTATTCAGGGACATTCCATCTATTCTTTCCCTGAAAAAAAGACCACATTGCTTTTCTTCTATGTTTAATAGCCCAACACAAATCACTAACCAGTGTTAAGGCTGACAAGCTCAGTGAGGGCCGTCCATTTAACAGCCAAGCTCAGCAAAGGTGCATCTTCCATGGCAAACAAAGGGCCCAGAATTGAAAACATGTGCTGGCTGCTCTGGTCCCAATCTGTTAATATTGTGAAATGAATGGTTAAAACCACTTCATTAACTGTAGGTACTAGAAATGCTGCATATGGGTGCGTTATCACTCAATGTGTGGTTTAATTTAATGTCTTGATTCCACTGGGAGAAAGCCTAATCCACAGGCTATCAGTGATTTATCACTATCCTCAGGTATCTACAGTATTGCTAACATTTTTTAAGTTAAAACATTCTTTGTCAATGATGTTTAAAAGGAAATGGTATGTAGCTGGTCAGTGGAGGAGAAA